GCCTTGCTCCTAGGAACAAGAACGCTACTAGCGGCGCCTAGGGGCTCCTGGCCTTACTCCTAGGAACAAGAACGCTACTAGGGTGATTGAAGCTGAGAATCAGATCTTTCTCCCAGCGCTCGCAAGTTGGGAGCAGATGTCCAACGACTTCCCATCCTCTGGTCCTGAGTCGTTCAAACGACTCACCGAATCCAACCTAATCGCAAACTATACTAGACCTGTCCTCTTTTCTTTTCGGTTTCTAATTGGAATGGCCTCCACCCTACTAGCGATGGCCTCCAACCACAGTTCTACACAGTTCTACCTCAATTCCACAACCAGCTCTTCAGCTGCCTGGCACTGCCTCTCTGCCTCATCCCTTCTCTGCATCTTCCACCAAACCGCTTGAGAATGACTCAGATGCGACTCGTATGCGATTCGCAACGCGATCTTGTCGCTCACAGAGACTGCTGGGTGAAGGTTCTAAGGCGTCCTTTGATGTCTTTTCGTCCGCAAAAATAGAACATAAAATCAATGATTTGCATATCATAGAACATGGAGAAGGCTGAGCTTCATCTCAGCCCATGGCTTTTTGTTCATGGTCGCAATCGCATGCATTTTGGTGGTGACCAACAACTCGGAGACGGAGACTGTGGCGAGCCTCGACAAGAGACGACGGAAGCGTGTCTTTCCTGTGTCTTTCCACCAAAACCGTCCTTGGACGATCTGGATCATCATCCGAGGGATCGACCTGTGGTCTGGATCATCCGATGGCAAACGCTACTAGTAACAAGTGCCTTACTAGTAGGAACAAGTGCCACGCTACTAGAAACAAGTGCCTTACTAGTAGTAACAAAAAGAATTTAATTAGAATTGTAATTACTAGCAAAGGAATCTACTAGACCAAATCAGTTCATCTGGCCTCTAAGTCACACATTGCAGGGACACAGCCAACCTGATATCGGACGTGGTAGGACAAGCCCGCAAACGCGTTAAAAGCAACACAAAGCATGCAGAGACAGGCAAAGAGACAAGTACCTCCTCTTCGCTGGAAGACTCTTCCTGCACTCATGGAACGGATGGAACACGAAATCCGAAGTGGTTCGATGCGAAGAATTCTTGTTTCCTAGTAGTAACAGGTGCCACGCTAGTAGTAACAGGTGCCTTACTAGTAGTAACAAAAAGCTATTAGAATTAAAATAATAGCTTCTTGCTCCTAGTAGTGATGCACTTGTTCCTAGTAGCGATGCACTTCCTAGTAGCTCTCCCCCTCATGGGGCCTTCTACGTTCCAAGCTTGGCTGCACGTCGCCTACTTAGTAGCTCACCTGACCTACGCCACCCAGTCTTTGCAGTCTATCCCTACCACTAAAAAACAGGAATGCACGCAGACAGTCACAAACACATTCGGGAAAGTGTGTACTGATTGATTGCGGCTAGCCACATGGCAACCTAGGTAGGACACCTAAGAGTCCAGTGGTAAAAGGCCTAAGAGTTTTTTTTTTGGCACGCAGACTCACTGTCTTGTTGCCTCTTTGGGGTGGGGGTGAAACCTCTCTCAACGACCCAAGCGGTCGGAGTGTCCTACCTTCTGCTTCCAAAGTCTGAATGCATAACGGTAGGGAAATAGGGATCCCACGGAGATTGAGCCGCCTGAAGAAAGGCGTCGTCACCAAGCTCAATCTCCTCGGGATCCAAACTGCCTGCACTCGCTTCTTTGAAGCTATCTACAACTGCACGTGCAATGCTTAAGCACATTCTTGGAGGATATTCCTTCAGCTCACTAGTCGCGAAAATGCCCTCCGCCGTGCGACCGATCGACCGAGTTGCAGGCATCTCAGACGATCTTTGTTGTTCAAGACGTTCTTCAAGTGTTCGAAGGCCATGAACCATCAATGCTGTGGGCTTTGGAGACTTTGCCCCGAACTGTCCCTGCCAGACTCGAAGCTTTCTCATAGGTAGCAGCGCCAGCATTGCACGTAGGACCTTCAGGCGCCAAATCGACGCCAGACTTGCATCGTCTTCTGGTTCATCCGGGCGCTCGAGCAAGCAACCTGTTGCGGCCCGGATGCAATCGAGCACGAGGATGATTGTGAACTGCAAGAGCCGTGAGCCAACGATGCATTGGGTGTGTTCTCGCTGGCTCAGGCCAATCATTCCCCAAGGTTCCTGACTGGATCTAAGAACCCTTGGCTGACTGGCACTGCTCTCATC